CCCCCCCCCCCCCCCCCCCCCCACCCCACCTCCCTCCCTCCTTCGAGGTGCAGACGAGACTGAAGAGCAAGAAAAGTCAATCATTTTGAATGAGACTTTTATGTCCAACGGTGCCATTGAAATTACGATTTTGTGCAATAAACCCGGCAGTTATTTCACTTAACGTACTTTTTCTGTTGGTACTAGTTTATGGCCCTTCTCGAAGACATTAAGAAAACAACAGCAAATGCATTAATGGACTCTCCGTTAATGAGCATTGAACTCATTAGTAGACCACTATCCACCTACTTGAGGCAATGAAGAAAGTTAGGCAAATATCGAAATATTCTACGACGCTGTGTCAAGAAAATTTATCAAATGCTTGAAATCCAAGTTATGAAATAAATTTCTATATTTTACTTAAAAATGAGTCTTAATTATTGAAGAAATAAACATAATTAGTTTTGTTTTAGAAAATTGACAAATTATTTCTTGCCATATAGTAAAAATGCAACAAAGTGAAAGAGAGAACTCCACCGACAAAGAAGACACAAATTCAATTGAATTCAGACATTCTCTTGACAACCACCTCACACTCATCTTCATCCCCACACCACACCCCACCACCCCACCACTCCACCACTCCACCACCCACCCTCATTCATACGAGCCAAGTTGCATGCCGCCCTATGAAATATTGCCTTTAGACCCCACCCCACACCAAGGTTCATATAAAAGACGCACACAGTGGAGTTGCTTCTCCATAGTCATGGCAATCAAGTCTGTGATTGTATTCCTTCTACTTCATCTTCTCCAAGTGGCCTTTGCCGATGAGCCAGACGCTTACCAGGCGCGTCAGAAACCCATCACATATCCCTTCCCACCATTCACCATCTTGAAGCAGGAGATACCTCCATCCTACTGGGAGGACCTAGCTCGGAAGGAAATAGACAAGGCGAACAGACTATTTCCCGATTTCTACTCGAAGGCAAAGAAGGCGAAAAATGTGATTCTCTTTCTCGGTGATGGCATGGGAATTCCTACACTCGCCGCCACTAGATTTGATCGCACCAACACCACTGGTAAGGCTGAGAAGCACCCATTCGAGGACTGGGAGTTCTCCTCCCTCTGCAGGACCTATGATCTTGAAACCATGGTCACTGACTCTGCCTCCTCCGCCACAGCCTATCTTACAGGTACGAAGTGCCGCCTTGACCACCACCTAGAAATTCGAAGGGAAAATGTGACCGAAGGTGTGTTTCTGCATTACAGGTACCAAGACGAGAACAGCCATGATAGGTGTGACAGGCGAGGTTTTCTACAAGGAATGCAAAATGTACTCCGACGAAGAGAAGACAGAATCTGTTCTAACTGCAGCTCAAAAGGCAGGAAAGTGGACAGGCATTGTGACCTCATCAAGAATTACTCATGCCTCACCAGCTGGTTGCTATGGTCATGTCGCCTTTCGTGACTGGNTTGTTTTGTGTTCATAATTTAAGTCAAACCAATGAGAATGTTTCATTTTCAATGATTTCATTATTAATGCATTTCAGGAAGTCATTTGCAGAGCAGCATGTCTTCGATCGAGTCATTGAGGATATCTTCAAGGAGGTGAATCCCGAGGAAACATTGCTTGTTGTAACAGCTGACCACTCGCACTCCTTTGCATTGGTTGGTCAACCCAGTCGTTTCCGAAGTCTGTTCCTTCCAGATCTTATAAAGGGCAATGAAGTAGGGTTGTTCATTTACTTCTAACATTCACATTTACTTGAATTCTCACGATCTGAATCTTTTTAAAAGACTCTTGACAAAAAAGGTATGCAGCCGGTTGGCTACATGACTGGTCCAGGATCAGAAGTTAATAAAACTAGAAAAAGTGTTTGGGACATGGAAGACGAGACTTTGTTTGGCAAGGACACTCAATTGCAGGCATTGATTCCAATTGGCTGGGCAACACATGGTGGGGATGACGTTGCAGTCTTTGTCAACGGTCCCTTCAGTTACCTCTTCCACAAGACAATTGACAACACCTTCGTGGCACAGGCGATGAAGTATGCCATGTGTGCACCACCCTTCGACAAGGAGCCCTTCTGTGCTGGTTGCAGCCTCACATCATCAATCCTGGCCTTCATTGGTCTTCTTTTGTGGTTCTGTTTTAACTAAACTCATTCACTTCCATGCACTGAGTCACTCATTTTTACAGCGAATAAATATCAGAGCTGAACATTTAAATAAATTTTTTTGGGGTGAGTGGTTTTTTGATGGAGGATAAGTGTTATTAACGTTGGTCTGATTTATTTCATTTAAACGAAAATATGGGCCTAGATATTGATTAAAATTTGAGCTCTTCAGCTCTGGGTGTTTAAATCTAAATAAATTAGTTAAATGCTTGAGGTGTTGGTTTAGCTAAACTGTAGGTATGCAAATGCTGGTGTGCTTTCTCACTCCTCAGAATTTCGTCACAGGAAATTCGCCGCCACACGGAGAATTTGCATTTATCCTAATCTCGAGCATTTATTTTGCCACCTAATCTTTAGATCCTTCTGATTGCACTTTTACCTTCACTCACAAGTACATTAATTGATCTTTTAATACAAATGCGGAGGGAATAAGAAGTAGCACTACATCTGATATGAGTCTCCCTATCTCCCTGAGAGAAAATATTTCGAAGGGGGGGGGGTATTTCACAAATAATTTCATATTCAGATCGAAATATCATCAGTCTACGAATATGCATATTTGTTCGCCCATACAAGTTTTCGAATAAGATGCACAACCACTGCAGTATTGGTCAAATTGAAACATAGAACTTTCATTGCAATCAATGTCTCTCCTATAAACGGTCGGTTCGGGAAATATGTAATGAGCATGGCTACATATCCAACTCAAACAGTCGTTCAACTTCCTCTTGCCTTGAGCATGTTGGAAATCAAGTGAAGTAAAAATTTCAGTGTACCTCGTCTTATATTCACCTTCTTCCAGCTTTCCTACAGTTTTTAAATGATGCTAATTCTGATAAATGATTGGTTTTGTTTCGCAAATAAATTATTAGATTACTTTCCTCATTATTTGTGTGCAAATTGCATCATAATTGAATTGTGTTTGAGCTAATCATTGGAAGCCTATTGAAGTTGTACTGCAATTCTGCACCTTGTATTCCACATTTATAAATTGTCTGACGTCAATGAGGAATGAGAAGGAGACGGTTTGGAATCCATAAGAGGTTGGGTGTGTGTCTTGACCCCCTCCTCATCGATGGGTGACACCCTTCATTTAATAATAAAACGGCGGTTTTCCATCAAGTAATTAAGAAAATACCACGATAAGTGTTGCCCATATGTATTTTTTTTAAAGTCATTGATTTTAAAGGCCATTTTTTTAAAATATTCTGAGAGATCAAGCAAATCAACAACCCAAAGTGATGAGAAGGCAATTGAAAATCAACGAATTCCTGTGTAAGCACTCGCAGGCCTTCTACATTTACTGTTCTTTGAAGATCCGAAAAAAGACGTTATGTGAAAGCGTACGAAATCAGGTGTAGGAGATAAGTTCTATGAAATATTGAGGTTCCTCTTCTGTTAGGACTCGTAATGTGGTTGAAGTAGGAGAGAAGGAATGCCATCACTCAGTTGTTAAATCCACAGTTGTGGCCATTTTATGGAGAGGCTTCTATTCGCACTCAGTGTAGAGGACAAGTTCATAGAAGTTAGATCCTCCGGATTTCCAAGTGGATTGCCGTCTACCATCTCAGTCCCTAATGACTTTGTCCAATCAATGGAGGTCATGGTTTACTAGCAGTCTCTTCTAATGTGTAAGGAAGTGAAGCATAACAATGGTCTCCTTGATTCCACGAAGCATGGCATAGAGAACTTCGCTCAACGAAGGCTTAGATAACTTGATAACTTATAACAGCTCAGAATACTGAGGCCGTGGTTTAATTTTGGTGAAAAGAGATTCCAGTTTGCAGAGATTCAACTTGATATGTCATATTACTGAATTTCAATGTATTTATTAGGCTGACATCCCAATGAAACCCAAATTTTGAGTAGTTCTAATCCGATTAACCCAGCTCATATCCCGGTTCATCCTCCTATTTCCCATCAAGTCAAAAATAAGCCTAGAGGGTTCGCAAGTTCCCTCGTCTGTTAAACTCTCCCCCCTTTATAATTTGTAACAATTACTTTGCCTTTTGGGAACTTTGGTTTGACATCAAGTTGGTACATTTATGAAGATCTTAGTGATTGTTGCTCCAGTGTTGAATCGACTACTTGTCCACGTATAGCGCAGTGTGAGTTCCAGAAATCGTTTTTAACTTGTCTCTTTGCAACACAAGCGGTAAAAGCGTTTCAATTTTGCCGAATTGTACAGAATTTTCACGTTTTAAAAATTCCCTCCCAAAATATATTTGTTTTGGTTATTGAAACTGCCAATACTGTAATCGTAAAGAAATTTGAAGACTGAATTCGTGGCTTTTTTGCAACTAACACTAAAAAAAAATTATGAAAATGATCAAAGGTCGCCATATTTCTGAGTAGTCCACCCAACAAACACAACTAATGAAGTGGCAAAAGTGAAATGTTTTGGAGGGAAAGCTACGGTTCACATTAAAATACTTAAAGTTGTCCCTTGGTCAAAGTGTCACTAATGTGGCGTTTTCGTGGGATGATTCAAGCCATACGTGCGTGCTCATGTGCTCACTACTAGGGAGCCAATAGGAATGCAACGAAGTGAGATATATAAAATGGCACAATTTACTGAGAAAAGTATTCATTACCCTAGCACAATGGAGGTTCTGAAAGTTCTTAGTTTGTTCGCACTTCTTGTGTGTACGAGGGCTGTAAAAGCAGACCCAAATGACCCACCGCCAGAGCCACTGAAAGTGGTGAAGGAGGAAATAAGTCCAGATTTCTGGGTAAGACAGGCCAAGGAAAGGTTCGCCAAAGATTGCAAGATGTTCAGCTCACTGAGAAACTCCCCCAATGTCAAGAATGTGGTCATGTTTTTGGGTGATGGTATGGGAATGCCAACAATTTCTGCCAGTCGATTCTACATCGCGGAAATGCAGGGTCGAAATGGCTCTGCTGTTTTCCACCCCTTCGAAGAGTGGGATTTCAATACGATGGCCAGAACCTATGATCTTGAGACATCAGTTACTGATTCCGCCAGTTCAGCTAATGCCTACCTGACTGGTGAGAAGGCTATTACACCACTAATTCGTCTTATTTTCTAGGCTCGAAAACGCGAACTGGCATGATTGGAATCGACGGCAATCTAAACGTCAAACAATGTGGAAAATGGGACTCACAGCATTTCACGCAATCAGTTCTTGAAGCTGCTTACAGGGCTGGCAAAGCAACTGGTGTTATTACAAACACAAGAATAACCCATGCTTCTCCATCAGGCACTTATGCTCATGTCACCCACCGTGACATGGAGAGTGACGTGTTAGTTCAACCTCCATTGTCCTTATGACCAGTAACTTTGACGCCATTTACCAATGATGTAAACCTTCTTTCAACAGGAAAATAAAGGACTTTTGCCCACAAGAATATGAAGAAATGCCCTGTCAAGACATTGCTTGCCAGTTGATTCAGAACCACCAATACATCAATGTGATAGTTGGCGGTGGACAGGAGAATTTCGCTCCCAAAGCAGCTAAGCCCAAGGCAAGTGAATATGTGGGCATTCGAGAGGATGGGAGAAATCTGATTGAAGAATGGATTGGAAATAAAACTAAGGAGAACAAAAACTTCTGCTTTGTCGGCGAGCCAGAAGATTTGTCAAAATGCAAACCATCAGAGAATGATTACATTTTGGGTTAGCCATCATATGCATTTAATTATAATGACTTTATTTATTCATCTTCTCACAACCCCGTCATTTTTCGAACTAGCACTTCCTTACGTTGGACATTTTCCGTATACGCACGACATTCCAATGGGCGAACCAAATCTTCTAGATTACGTACGCACAGGTCTTGAAGTTCTCAAACGACAGAAAAATGGATTCTTCCTCTTCATTGAGAGTGGACGAATTGACCACGCTCATCACGATAATAATGGACGGTAAAAGAAATTCACGAATTTTGTCCAATTAAATCCAAAATAATTTTGGCAAATTGTCATTTTCCTTTCTTTAGGTATTCCCTCGATGAGATGTTGGAGTTTGATAAAATTATAAACTACATCCAAGCATCAGTTGATCTAAAGGAGACATTGTTAATTGTCACAGCTGATCACTCGCACGCACTTGAATTGGTTGGCCAACCCGGACGATTCCAAAGTGTCCTTGGTATTGATCAATATTATAGCAATCTTGTAAGGAAAATGCTTTAATCTTTTACCAATTGGAGGAATCTCTCGCTTTTTAATCGTATTTCTTTCCACTTACAGACCGATGATAAGATGCCATTACAAGGACTCAACTACATGAATGGACCAAATGGTTTAAATCGGGATTTTCGAAAAAATCCCGCTTACGAAGATATCTTCGACTGGAGCTATAAGCAGCAGACATTAGTACCACTTCCAATTGCCTCCCACGGTGGTGACGATGTCGGCGTCTACGCAACCGGACCCCTCTCGGCTTTCTTCCACGCCAATGTGGACAACACCTTCATTGCCCAAACCATGAAACTGGCACTAGGAGTCGAACCATATGATAGAATGAATTCACCCTGTGATGGCTTTACTTGAACCCTTCTCTCAGCCTCAACTGTAATCACAATTTTCTACTCATTGTTATTAAAAGCTACGGTACTACTCGACAATAAATCGTTGTTTTACTTAATTCGACTTCCGTTTGTGTGAAATTAGTGGAGCATGCTGAGGTTAATTAAGTTTTCTAATAATGATATCTTTTGTTGAGTTAGAATTGTAATATTATTGATGCACATTTTCGCTAATTTACTAATACGCAAAATGTAATAATCATTATAAAAAAATAATAAATTTTCCTTTAATTCAAGAATTGAGAGTTAATGTTAGTTGATTGCATTTCCATCGACCAGTCGGAATATTATTTTTTATTTTATTTTGAATTCCAGGATTATCGTTCGTTATCATCTTCCAGCTAATTTTCCTGGTATAACTTCGCACAGTTCTTACATAACTCTTTGTCTGAAAACAGATTGCAAATAATATTACTTAAATCTCAGATTTGAGGTTTATATCATCCAAATATAATGTTCGACTCAAGAACTCCAATCAAGTTTAATGAGTTAAGCTCTTTTTTCTTACCCAAATACACTTCACTGACACTTCGTTCATCAGTACTTCATTTATTCTCGTACATTCTGGCGTTATCTTGTGAAACTAACGTCAAGAAGGGAGAACCTACCAGAATCCACATTGTGTGCGCATTCACAGCTGCATTTATTTGAGGTTTTCAAACAGGTCAGTCGATCTGCGAAAATTTTGCAACAAAATTCGTATTTTATTGGCGAGGTACATATCCCATCAGGATATTTCACCTATTTTGTTATAAAGGAAGTATTTCTTTTTAATGAAGTGTGAGACGTGAGATTTATGCTGGAATAAATGTTAAGCACGAAAGAGCGATAAATTAAATGTTGGGGGGGGGGGGGGGNCCCCCCCCCCCCCCCCCCCCCCCCCACCCCACCTCCCTCCCTCCTTCGAGGTGCAGACGAGACTGAAGAGCAAGAAAAGTCAATCATTTTGAATGAGACTTTTATGTCCAACGGTGCCATTGAAATTACGATTTTGTGCAATAAACCCGGCAGTTATTTCACTTAACGTACTTTTTCTGTTGGTACTAGTTTATGGTCCTCATCGAAGGCATCCATCAGACAACAGCAAATGCATTAATGGACTCTCCGTTAATGAGCATTGAACTCATTAGTAGACCACTATCCACCTACTTGAGGCAATGAAGAAAGTTAGGCAAATATCGAAATATTCTACGACGCTGTGTCAAGAAAATTTATCAAATGCTTGAAATCCAAGTTATGAAATAAATTTCTATATTTTATTTAATAATGAGTCTTAATTAATGAAGAAATAAACATAATTAGTTTTGTTTTAGAAAATTGATAAAGTATTTGTTGCCATATAGTAAAAATGCAACTAAGTGAAAGAGAGAACTCCACCGACAAAGAAGACACAAATTCAATTGAATTCAGACATTCTCTTGACCACCACCTCACACTCATCTTCATCCCCACACCACACCCCACCACCCCACCACTCCACCACTCCACCACCCACCCTCATTCATACGAGCCAAGTTGCATGCCGCCCTATGAAATATTGCCTTTAGACCCCACCCCACACCAAGGTTCATATAAAAGACGCACACAGTGGAGTTGCTTCTCCATAGTCATGGCAATCAAGTCTGTGATTGTATTCCTTCTACTTCATCTTCTCCAAGTGGCCTTTGCCGATGAGCCAGACGCTTACCAGGCGCGTCAGAAACCCATCACATATCCCTTCCCACCATTCACCATCTTGAAGCAGGAGATACCTCCATCCTACTGGGAGGACCTAGCTCGGAAGGAAATAGACAAGGCGAACAGACTATTTCCCGATTTCTACTCGAAGGCAAAGAAGGCGAAAAATGTGATTCTCTTTCTCGGTGATGGCATGGGAATTCCTACACTCGCCGCCACTAGATTTGATCGCACCAACACCACTGGTAAGGCTGAGAAGCACCCATTCGAGGACTGGGAGTTCTCCTCCCTCTGCAGGACCTATGATCTTGAAACCATGGTCACTGACTCTGCCTCCTCCGCCACAGCCTATCTTACAGGTACGAAGTGCCGCCTTGACCACCACCTAGAAATTCGAAGGGAAAATGTGACCGAAGGTGTGTTTCTGCATTACAGGTACCAAGACGAGAACAGCCATGATAGGTGTGACAGGCGAGGTTTTCTACAAGGAATGCAAAATGTACTCCGACGAAGAGAAGACAGAATCTGTTCTAACTGCAGCTCAAAAGGCAGGAAAGTGGACAGGCATTGTGACCTCATCAAGAATTACTCATGCCTCACCAGCTGGTTGCTATGGTCATGTCGCCTTTCGTGACTGGGAGGTAGATTCGTAAGTTCTTCATTTTTTCGCCCTCAACATCAACTTCCCTGTCTAAACCGTCTCTTATAAATTCAGAATGTTGCCATGTGAAAAGGGTGCGTTTTGTGCTTGTACTGATTTGGCCTATCAACTCATACATGAACACCAAGATATCCACGTACTTATGGGTGGTGCTCAAGAGTACTTTTATCCTGATACTGAACCGTTGCCTAGCAATAAGCAATCGAAGGGAAAACGTTGGGATGGAAGAAATTTGCCGAAGGAATGGGAGTCCACGCAGAAGTCGAAGGGTCGCAAGTACGTCTATGCAGACAGTCCAGATGCTTTCAAGAAGATCAACTTTGAGGATTACGATTATGCTCTAAGTAAATTTGTCCTCCATGTCAAGTCATAGTGAATGATGTCATGCCTAATTGAGCCTTCATTGTTTACTTCTGTCCGAATAGGTTTGATCTCAGCATCTCATCTTCCTTATGAGTTGGATAGACCCCAAGGTGATCCTGGACTATACGAACAAGCCATGGCTGCAATCAAAATTCTAAAAAAGAGTCCCAACGGCTTTTTCCTGTTCCTCGAGGGAGCTAGAATCGATCAGGCCCACCACGAAAACAGAGCCATGTTTGTTTTGTGTTCATAATTTAAGCCAAACCAATGAGAATGGTTCACCTTCAGTGATTTCATTATTAATGCATTTCAGGAAGTCATTTGCAGAGCAGCATGTCTTCGATCGAGTCATTGAGGATATCTTCAAGGAGGTGAATCCCGAGGAAACATTGCTTGTTGTAACAGCTGACCACTCGCACTCCTTTGCATTGGTTGGTCAACCCAGTCGTTTCCGAAGTCTGTTCCTCCCAGATCTTGTGAAGGGCAATGAAGTAGGATTGTTCATTTACTTAAAACCTTCTCTACCTGAATTCTCACGCTTTGAATCTTTTTGAAAGACTCTAGATGACAAAGGCATGCAGCCGGTTGGCTACATGACTGGTCCAGGATCAAAAATTAATGATACTAGAGACAATGTTTGGAACATGAAAGACGAGACTTTGTTTGGCAAGGACACTCAATTGCAGGCATTGATTCCAATTGGCTGGGCAACACATGGTGGGGATGACGTTGCAGTCTTTGCCAACGGTCCCTTCAGTTACCTCTTCCACAAGACAATTGACAACACCTTCGTGGCACAGGCGATGAAGTATGCCATGTGTGCACCACCCTTCGACAAGGAGCCCTTCTGTGCTGGTTGTAGCCTCACATCATCAATCCTGGCCTTCATTGGTCTTCTTTTGTGGTTCTGTTTTAACTAAACCCCATCACTTCTCTGCACTGAGTCACTCATTTTTACCGCGAATAAATATCAAAGCTGAACAATTAAATGTAGTTTTGTTGTTGTGAGTGATTTAGTGGATTTCATTTAACCAAAAATATGGGCCTAGATATTGATTAAAATTTGAGCTCTTCAGCGTTCCTCTCTGGGAGTTTAAATCTAAATAAATTAGTTAAATGCTTGAGGTGTTGGTTTAGCTAAACTGTAGGTATGCAAATGCTGGTGTGCTTTCTCACTCCTCAGAATTTCGTCACAGGAAATTCGCCGCCACACGGAGAATTTGCATTTATCCTAATCTCGAGCATTTATTTTGCCACCAAAATCTTTAGATCCTTCTGATTGCACTTTTACCTTCACTCACAAGTACATTAATTGATCTTTTAATACGAATGCGGAGGGAATAAGAAGTAGCACTACATCTGATATGAGTCTTTATGTAAAATAATTAACTTTTAAATCGGAAAGTGCAGAGCCTCAGAAGACTCCGTAGTAAAGGCGTTTGGTATTTTGTTCACAGCTGGGCGAACAGTCAAATCAGATGCATTTGTAGGCAGGGGAGGTGGGTGGTGAATTTCTCTTGCGGACCGTCACTGATGAATCCAAGCAACTTGCTGCTCTGAACTCCACGACAATTCCTCATTTCGTCGATTTTCATTCGACATCTTTGCGCTCACAGAAATTGCATGCTTACCTCGAGGTGACCGGGTTGATCGGCACTTCCTTTGTCGGTGATTTTGTTGGCAGCTTTATCTCAATGACCTTCTGTGCACTCTAATATTTATTTATTTATTTATATCAAATGACAGGCGTTTTGATGGTTATCATTAGCCCTTTAGTTGACTTCAGGCTTCACAGACGGGAAAGAACATCAAAGTGAAAAATTTGAGAGGGGGGGGGAGTGAACAGAAGAGTGTTTTAAAGAGGTAAAAGAGACAGACACAAAGGTAGAGAAAAAGGTAAGGTGAGAAAAAGAGACAGACACAAAGGTAGAGAAAAAGGTAAGGTGAGCACTGTTGAAGTGGTCGAATATGACATACAGTGGGGTCATGGTAGTTTGTAGTCAAAAGTCATCTGTCAGTTTATTGACTTTTTTTGCTGTGTGGGTATACGTTGTCTAGTGGGCGCCAGGTGGAGACAAGTCTATCGCACACCCCCTTTTGATAGCTTAGTTCAGACCATGCTCCTTTCTCTGGATTTCACAAAATCCCAGCCAGAGGACACGGGAGAGTGCTGTTTGACATATCGTTAGTGTTTCATCCTGCACCTGCTCTCTTTGGAGTCCCCTCATTATTTGTCCTTTTCTGAGGCTGAACAGCAGAAAAATTCTCATTTTAAATAAAACTAAGGAAAGTATGGACACTTAGGCTATTTTCAAGGGAGATAATGGGATAAAAATGCACTGATAATTGCATCGGAGAAATACCACGCAAAGAGCCACATTTTTCGGACTTCAATCGTCCTAATTAAAAGGTGGCTGGGAAATTGGACCTCTAAAGGGTGATTTACAAATGGGAGGATTTGTGTTTGCCAACAATTTGGCGAGCATATCAAAAGATTATTAAGTGACTCGAATACGAAAAACAAGTGTTAAATTTAATTAGTCTTCTATTACCTGCCCAAATTCTCATTTATTTGATAAATTTTGTACATTCACTTTCACCTGCGTTTTTGCTCCATCTCTGCAATTGATATTCCCTTATGAAGGAAGGTAATCGCCAATTTCTCATTAAACTTACTCGCAGTTCACTGAATTACAAAGAATGAAATTTACATTGGAAAATGGGAGGGACGTTTACACGCATTAAGGCCACTTTTCTTGAGACAATGGTATCGCCTTGTAATACTTTAAGTATTGACATATCCAGAAAATCTCACCATAAGAGGAATTAAAACTTTTCCTATTCTGTTCTCGCATCAATGGAAATTGCATGGCACATTCGTTGCCATGTCAATCACCTGAAAGGCGAAACTACTTCACTTCTTTCAGACCCTCTTCTGTCACTTATCCCCAGACTTCTACTCATAGATCCACCATTCTTTGCTTGTCCTGACGCGAGAAGATATTGCATGCGATGGAATGGTGAGCTAAGAAACTTATAGCTTCCCTGGGGTCTGGCAAAATGTAATTTTGAGGCAATCAAGCTTTCCACCGCATGCTGGCACTCGTAAGTGCGCTGGCACTTAGAGAGACAGAGGCGGCTGCTTACCGTATTGCTTCTGGTTCTATCAGAAAACGAGGCAGTCAATGGAAGGAGCTTTTGTGGCAGTCTGACCTGGTATTGGGAAATTTCCGTCCATTCCTCCCCCCCACCCCCACCCCCTCCATGTTGGCATTCGTTTGGGCTAAAACTTGTATTTAAATAGCTCTAAGATTCGACTAGTTATGGAGTACCGGTTCAATGAATATTCCCGGTTTTATGCTCATTTCAAAATAATAGTCCTTGAACTTCCACCTTTTCGCAGATCTGATTTTCTTTCCTTCGCTCCACTGCTTGGCGCCTTCCCCTCCCCCCCCCCCCCACCCCACCCCCACTGGGTGCACTAACTACACGAAG